TTAACAATCATACTTGAGCTTTTAGAGCAACAAATGTAAAAGGAGTTCCATTGCGAATTTTTGCGGCACATATAGCAATTTTATCTTTTTCGATCATCTTTTTATGTAAAGCTGCAAAAGTCCTTCTACTACCTTCATATTGCTGATATCATTCAAGAGACAATTAGAAATAAGGATAATTTTAATGATTAGACTATAGAATTTAATGCTCACTTCTTCATCAGGATATATAAAATATGGGTGTGCAATATTATAGTGATATTTAAGTGCACTTGTAGGTTTAAATCCAATAAGTGTTAAACCTATATGATAGAAAATATGACAGTAATTAAAATATATATTTAATAACTTATTTTGTCATAATTACCTTTTTCACCAAAGTCTCTGATTTTTGTTAATTCCTCTTTCGTAAAGACAATCTTCGTTGGAAGCGTTGAAATAACATTGAATTTCGCAAAGTCTATATTTTATATATAAACTATATTTTTATACGCACATACCTTTTCGCCTCCATATGAAAAACATAACTTCATATCTTCAGACATTAATTCTTGAGCAGTGTCCTATGACAATGGAGCAAGATTAATTAAAAATATTTATAAATGTTTAACGCTTTCAAATTTTATTACCGCACAAATCCATTTTGTCTTTGTTTCAACAACACGTGTTGTCTCAGCTTTCATATGAACTAATTTATGCGTAGGCTTCGCTCTTTCAACTATCATCGAAAAGCTATATATATTATATATAAAATATTTATAAAGTGTATAATATAGAATAAATATTTTAAGGTTTATACTCTAGATGTTGGTGAAATTAATTTCGCTAACACTTAATTTCACAAATAGTGATGGAATTATTTAACCATTTCACCAGCATCTTTAGTTTAGATTAATTGAATTATTTTATCATTTACCCTCTGATTCCAATTGTCAACCCTTCACCTTCAAATAAGCGGAATGGCAGAGAAAATAAAGATCTCCTTGGAGTTTCTTTATTCATAATTTGAGTCAAAAGGACATTAAAGTCTTTCGTTGCATTAAAGTGAAGATTTTCTCCAAAATCATCTTTGGAAACAATTTTCTAGAAAAACAATGAAAATTGACTATTATGAATATCAAGAAAATAAATTAAAAAATTAAATAAAATAAAAGATTTTGTTCAT